ATTCCAAATGAATTCTATTGTAAAACGTATTTCAAATTTATGGTGAGTGATGGGTCTTTTTCATATAGAAATGTGATCTTAACACGAAAGAACCATATCCTGCTTCTTTCGGACCGTAAGTATACCATGACCAAAGCTACACAACGAATTTTGTAATTATGCATGTGGGACGTAATCAAGCCATGGAGAGTACATCCAGTTTGGGATTAATAGTACGAGTGATGTTTAAAAATTTTGCTAAATTTGAAAGAGCCGCAGAGGCAAGTCCAATTCGGCAAAACAATTTTCAACAAACATCACGAAATTGGTTTGAGGGTAAATTTTCAAGTTTCCAAGGCCGACGTAATTCACACATTCCTGGCGGCGGCCATATTGCTTAATAGGGACCTTAAGCATGTAGGCGGGAACACGACGACGGTAGCTATCAATACAATGCTTCATTGAAAAGAAATGAATTATTAAATACCTATGGAAGTTTTAGACGTGATCTACGTTCTGTTTACAACGGCAAAACGTCGTTTATTACGTCCTTAGTAGAACGTCTGCATTTCAGGACCCAGTGAACGCTACCTCGAATTAAGCTCTACAGAATTGTCCTTAAACGTAAACACAATGTTTTCAACGTCTTATATCTCATTAAATTGGTACACTAATAATATACAACAACGCCTTACCATAACATTTATTTAAAGGAGTATTCCAACCACGTCGTCGTCGTGTTGCCGTCCTACATGCTTAAGGTCCCTAATTTGCGTGGCATTACGTTATCAGCCGCAAATATTTTTGCAGATTTAGAATTCTGTATAAAAATAATTCTGAAGAACAAAGTCATTTTGAAATTCAAGATATGAATTAAAACAAGAAAAGTGAATTAAAGTGCAAGTGATCCTCAGACAAAATCAATTGACTTTGGATGAAGTCTAGCCTGCAGCGCAGACTATATATTGGGGTATATATACCCCAATATATAGTCTGCGTTGCAGGCTAGATGAAGTCGAAAATTTACACATTAGTTCGCCTTTCTTGTTTTTATTCATATCTTGAATTTCAAGATGGCTTTATTTTCGGAATTTGTTTCTTTTTATATATTTTTGAAATTTTAGGCTGGACATGTTTTTTAGTGTGTAATATATGGTTTGTTGTTATTTTTCTTATTTAGTTATCCTGTCGTGCGAGCAGTGAAAGGATTGAAAGGTGGCATTAGATTTTTTATTATATTTCAGAATACTGTATCAATCAGTTTTTTTCTCAAAGCTGGTTTCAATTTAATCGTAATTGTCGTGAACGAGTAATTTTCACCCATCAGAAAATGTTTCACTTCATTTCGGCGGGAAAAGTCCTGTGTGCTTGTCGACCAATCAGCACGCGCGTACTATAAAGGTTATGGTATAATAATATCTATGTAGTTTCTTTCTGTTTAATATTCATGAATCCGACGTTATAACAGTTATATATTTTTTAAGATTGTTCTAATCTTTCACAGACTACATACTTTCACAGACTACTGAAATACAAAATGATTTTGCAATGAAAAGGGATTTCGATTTTCGAAAACGATTTGTTCCTCGCTAATATTTTTTAAAGCCAATTTACATGCAAACGTGGATTTATTACTGCAACGCTTTCTGTCTGTTAACCCTTGCTGTCATAATAAAGAAAATAATCCGGTTTTGACTATTTTTTACTTCTTTCAGGAAACGTGGCTATAGGCAAGAATGCCAACGATACGTTTCTTAGTAATTATAGAATCGGTATTCTCATTCACACAGGAGAATGGAAAAATTGGAATCCTTCTATGAATATGCCAAACAGGTGATAGAGTATTAATGAATAATGTTACATTTACATTTACAGTACAGTAAAATGCAGTGCAATTTCCTATGTTGATAAGTATCGTTCATATATCAATTCCTATATCACAATGACATTTCCATTTCACCACCATGACAGGTAAATATAGTTGTAATTGTTACCGAGATGGTGGAATATAATTATAGAACATAGAAATTGTTCCGAAAAAAACTATTGAAATCCCTTATTGTTATAAAATTGTTACTCTACCCATAAACAGATATTTTCCAGATGCACAAAGGAAATGTATATACTGCTGAGTAGTCTCACTAAGCTCTACTTGCTTTTTCATAAACGATACCTAAAAAAGGTACTTCTATTCGTTACTAGTTCGTGTTCAATAGCTCATAAAATGCTGAATATTTAGTTTCGAATTTCCCGCCGGCTGATCTGAGTAAAGAAATCAACGAATGAGAAGCTAGATTCCTGTGCCTGTCCTTCTGTCTTCGGACAGTGTTTTACTGTATTAAAATCAACAAGTTTAAAAAAATATCTTTGAAAAAGTCTTGCATGCAACAAATATAGATTTTGGATTTTGTTTGCCTAACTTGGGATTAGGGTGTAAATAATATTTTCTCATTTACGGCGGCGATAATTGTCCATTCGAATATATTCGGCCGGCCTAAAATTTCCAAAATAAACATCAATAGCCTCTATTCCTTATGAATTTTCCGGCGAAAAACTATAAGTGGGCCTTTTACAGCATGGCCTTCATATTCCTCATTTCCGTGTCGAGAATATGTTCTAAAACTGACATGTTCACACAATAGGATGTGCCATCCAATGTTTGCCATAATTTATATAACAGTTGATTCAAACCGTGTTTTAAACTGCAAGTATTTAAACCTGATATCTCTTGTGATATATAGAATATGCAGATCGGACTGAAATATATTTAATATAAAGTACTAGTTTTATAGGTTTTTGACGCGAACTAATGTTATTTTTTAGTAACGGGTGTTTACACGTCCATCCAGATTCTATGAAAAGAATCGACGAAATTCTACAGAAGGATTTACACGTGAAAGCAAATGAAAACCCATTTGGCAAGCTGCCTTACCCTTATCCTTGTCAAGGAATTATGTCGATCGAGCAGATTGATGGGTTTCCATAATCATAAAACATAAATGATTTAGAGTTTTACGTGCGTGTACGTGCGTATGGAAGACACTGTGATTAACATTCTTCCTCCCTTTTATCCTCCTCAGATTCTTAATTTCTCTGTTCATTATTTAGACCTAACTATCTCAATCAACTATCATACATTCTTTTTAATTTCATCCACTTATGAAATCTATATCAAAGCCAAATCATTAAAATATGTAACCCATTTCACTTCTAATCACACTAATCATGTATTCAAAGGGCTTGTTACTGCAGAAACTATACCTTATAATAGATTATCTTCTAGACTGTATTGATGATTGTAATTTCTTGCTCGAACTCTTTACCTCTCGACTCTACAACCTCTCTTGATTACCCTATTACTATCATCGAAGCAATCCGACACAAGGCGAAGAGAAATCAGTTAGAGAAAAAGAATCGGCTGCCTGCAAACCATTATAAAACCAAACTCAACAAACATGCAGGAACAGATAAAATTGTACAATGTATCATCAACAAGTATCATAAAAATTGTTCAACTTGTTACTACACACATTGTTATTAACCAACCAAAATAAACTGACACAAGCTTTTTAAACTAAATGTGTAAAATCAATGTTCTATTTACTAGTCTAGCTTTCCTCTGTGGCTAATGCATGTATACCATTCTATGATGTTATTTTTAATATTTAGCTTTGCTAATCAATAGTCACCTCGAAATTTATACCAAAAGATGTTAGTAGAGCGAATTAAATGGTGTTATATTCCCACTGCTCCTTCCGGCACACAATGGTCAAGTTGAGGGTATTAAAGCCTGGCTTTCACATGTCGTAATTCATCGCCGATGGCCTACGATCTATTGTCGGTGATCAATGAAGTAAATAATTTTCTTCGATATAGACAAAGGATTTTATGCATCAATGACCACCGACATGTACAGTAGCCATCGCTGATGAATTACGACATGAAAACCAGGCTTAAGCATAGGGGTTAATACCATCCTCGTCCCCAGGGCCTAGCTCCGTTGCTCTTAGAGCAACGGAGCTAGGACCTGGGGACGAGGATGGGTTAATACTTTAACCACCGGGTGTTAATATAACCGGAAGTCGTGACTTTGAACCTCAGCCGAATAAAAAGTAAAAGGTTTCTATGCCTACGTTTTTGTCGCGCGTTTTCACCGGTTGTTTCCTTTGAAACTTGCTATATATTCTGCGATTAATGGAAATATGTAGATGATGTCACTGCTTCCGAAATCATAGCCAAACATGAAAACTCAACAATCCAATCAGATCTTGATTATAAAATTATGTCCTCTTAGTCCTCCGCAAATTATATTAAGTTAAATGTGAAAAAATGTAAAGAGCTAAGGATATGTTTCTTCCGTGATACGCCTATGTTTGAGCATACCTCTAAGTATTGACGGAACAGCAATAGCCACTGTTGACTGCCACAAAGTTCTTGGTACAGTATTAAATAGCTCGCTAAAATGGTGATCATGTTAAGATGATTACAAAGAAGGCAGCTGCTAAGCGCCTTTACATTATACGCACCTTAAGGAAAAGCGGTATGTCCGCAGATGATTTGTTAATTTACATAATGAACTCATTCGTTCGGTCTTATGCCGGTTTTCCACTAGCGATATTTTTCGCGCGAATCGACATTTTACTTTTGTTCGAGAGCTCTCAACTACAACCATCTGGAACAAACTGCTAAATACAAAGAAATAAAGTCGCTTCGCGCAAAAAATATCGCTAGTTGAAAACGGGCTTTAGAGTACTGTTGCGCAGTTTGGCACATGCACTAACCTACTGTTGCAGAATCTTTCGTTTATTCTGCCTTTCTGGTTCATCAAACGTTCACACTCGAAGGGACTGTATATTCTGATTTATTATCGATAGATTACATTTCATTTTGCTATATACAATGGGTCATTATTTGGTATATCCCTATATCATATTACAATTACTAATATTAACTCGCGCTCCGTGGACTGGTGATCTGCGCTGGGAACTTACGACACCCCACCCACCTTGATTCATACACGTCTATGAATCAAGCATCGCCTTTGTTTTCGCTTTTGAAATTATGGCTGCCGCTCGTCTTGTTCGTTCATGCTGGTCTCCCTCTGGCTTAGCTGTAGGGATGTCCCTTTCCTCCCTTTCCCCACCCGGTCGAGATTGAACTTCCAATGGGAAAAGCTTCTCAATTGGTCTGTTTAAGAAGCGTGGTTTTCCTTTACCTGCAAGCCTAACCTTTGCTCCTCTAGCTTCCTTATCCTTCCCTACAATTAACTCTTCTACTACTGCTAACTTCCAGGTACATCTTTTCTCGCCTTCTCCGAACACCGTCACTACATCTCCTTTCTGGACCTTCCTTAACTTTCCTCCGTTTGTGCACTTGTGAAACTCTCTAAGTCCCGTTAAATATTCGCCCTTCCATCTTTTCCAAAAGTGCTGCAACTTTAACGTTACATATTTAAATCTCTCCCCACAGCTACTCGCTCCTATGACTACCTCATTCTGTGGGATTAAATGGATTGCTCTACCATATATCAAATGTGAAGGAGTTAACACTTCTCCTTCCAGCTCTTCAAATACTTCTGTTAATGGTCTCGCATTCAATGTGCCTTCAACTTCAACTAACACTGTGCTCAGCTCATCAAGGTTCAACTTTGCATTCCCTAACACCTTTCTAAGACACCTTTTCACACTGCGCACCATCCGTTCAAAGAAGCCTCCCCACCAAGGTGCTCTCTCTAAGTTGAATCTCCATGTTATTCGTTTGGCTCCTAATTCCGATCTGACTTTCGGCTCATTACAAATCTTCCTCAATGCTTTCTCTGCTGCCTTGAACGTTTTAGCGTTATCGGAAACTATAAGACTGGGTGCCCCTCTCCTAGCTGCAAATCTTCTCAAACAGCATAAAAACGTATCCGCTGATAAGTTGCACACTAATTCTAAGTGTATTGCACGGGTCACGCAGCATGAAAACAAGGCAATATACACTTTGTTCGAACAATTACCGGACTGTTTGACAAAAAGCGGACCTGCAAAGTCGACTCCGACTTGCGAAAACGGCGCGGCCTGTCTGACTCTAAATTCTGGCAAGTCTGCTTGTGGTGCTCTGCTATACGCTTTTCCTTCCAATCTTTTGCAAGTTACACACTGGCTCACAATTCGTTTTACCAGCTGCCTTCCCTTAACTACCCAGTATTTAGTTCGTAGCCTGCACAGCGTAGCACGTACACCCGAATGGTGCACTTCCTGATGGCATTTTCGGACAATCAACTCTGTCAGTCTATGTTCTTTTGGCAGGATAATTGGAAAACAGTTGTCAATTTCTAAATCTGAATTTTTTAATCTACCTTGGCTCCTAAGGATACCCTCCTCTTCCTTCAACCTTAAACTCACACTGAGTTGGGTGAACCTCTTTTCAGTTTTTAGTTCTGCCTGTGCTTCTTTAATCCAAATTTTTTCGGCTTCAATTATTTCGGCAACTGAAAGAGCCCCAGACTGCCTATCGACTCTCTTTACTCCTGCGCTAGCATTACGTAGGAATCTCATCACGCATGCTGTCACTCCAAAAAGCTTCTCTGAACTACTAAATTTGTTAATATCAATCACATCTTTCACACTACATTGTCTGTCTGCCTGTACAATCATCGTTGCTACCTGGCGTTCTTCCTCTACCACCGTCTGACTCTTCCCCGCACTCTCAAATTTAGGCCATTCTTCTTTGGGCTTTGTAAGCCATTTTGGTCCAGACCACCACAACTGGTTACCCTCCAGTTGTGTACCTAATTCACCCCTTGAACCTACATCGGCTGGATTCTCTTTACCCGGACAATGTCCCCAGTCTCCTTTCGTTGTCAGTTTTAAAATCTCATTCACACGATGAGCTACGAATTGCTTCCATTCACCTCTATTCTTTATCCAGTACAGGGCTGTCATGCTATCAAGCCAGTAATAAGTAGAATCTATCCTAACCTGGTTTTCAAATGCTTCCTTAACTGATTTCACTACTTGTGCAAGGAGTCGTGCTGACATCAACTCTAGTCTGGGTATGCTTGTTTGTTTCAAGGGTGCTACTCTAGCCTTGGAGGTCAATAACCGAACATATACCCCAAACCTCGTTTGACACACAAAATAAACAACAGCGCAATATGATTTTTTACTTGCATCCCCAAACCCATGTAAACTACACTCTAAAACCTCCTCTACTGGACTGGCATACATACAACGGGGTGTACTTATCTCCTTAACTTCTAGAAGGTCTTTAACCCAGGCTTCCCATTTCCTAATGAAAACTTTGCATAAGTCTCAGTCTCTCCCCCGCCATCTGGGTTTGTCTTATCTATCCCTCTCTCTTTCCGATCAATCTGGTCACTCAATGCTTTGCTATTTGTTAGCCATTTCCTTAGATTAAACCCTCCTTCAGCCATCCTAGTCTTTGTATTCTCATACAACTTAAATGCCTTTCCTTCACTTCTCTCTCCACTGACCAGGTCATCCACATAAAAGCTTTCAAGAACCTTACGTACAAACCCTGGGTCTATTTCTTTGTACTTTGAGACATGATGCCTCAAGGTGGCATTGAGTAAAAATGGCGATGAGTTTAATCCGAATACTACACGGCAAAATCTGTAAACCATTACCTCCCTATCGCTGCTTGCAATCTCATTCACCCATAAAAACCTCAGAGAGTCTCGGTCTTCCTTGTCTACCTCTACATTTAAAAATGCCTTTTCGATGTCTGCTACTAATGCTACTCTATTTTCTCTGAAACGTAACAATATACTGTAAAGCAATGGATTGAGCGATGGTCCAACATGCAAACAGTCGTTAAGCGATGTTTTGGATTTTATTCCTCTCGAGGACGCGTCATACACTATGCGTACCTTAGTTGTCACTGCATCTTTACGAATTACTGCTTGGTGAGGTAGATAATGAACTTTGCCTGCTTTCTCAAGACTTGGTACCTGCTCTATGATTCCCTGCTCTGCCTGATCTCTTATTATCCTATCGTACTCTTTCAACAATTCTGGCTCCTTTTCCAGTCGTTTCAACTGGCCTTTCATTCTAGCAAGACTATTCATGTAATTGTCTGGAAGATTGTCATGATCCTCCTTCCAGGGCAGTTTTACTGAGTATCGATTACCTGTGAATGATATTCCATCAAGAAATGTTTCATGAACTGTGTCCTCTTCAATTATACCCAATCCTTCAAAACTCCAAAGTTTTTCCACATTACTTTCTAAGCTATCTCTGTCCCATTTCGTTGTCTGCCCCATAAAGTTCACCTGAGTCACTCCAGCACCTTCTATCTCTCTTCCCCTTAGAGGTCCTGACAACACCCATCCCAACTCAGTTTGTATAGCTACGGGCTCCCCTGTCTTACCTTTCTTTGTCTCACCTGTTTGGAAATTCCAAAGATAGTCTGCCCCTATCAAAACGTCTACCTCTAATTCTTCCTGAAAATTCACCACATCTGAGAACCATACCCCCTCTAGATGCGAATAATTCTTTCTAGCTAATTCTACGTGACTATTCTGCACAGTGCAAATTTCTGGTACCACATATGCTTCTATTGAGATAATCTTATCCCCATTAACAGGCTGAAGTTTAAGCTCGACCACTTCCCTTTGTTCAGCCTTCGTGCACTTTTGACCGAACGTATTAATGCCTAGAAATTCCCTTCTTAAACCCCTTGGATTAACAAGACTCGCTGCATGCGATGTAACGAAAGAGCGATGACTTCCCCCATCAAAGAGTACCCGGACCTTAGCCACCCTCTCACCCCTTAATACCCCGCGCGCAGTTTGCAAGGCAACCAGACCACCTGTCCCGGCAAGCAAGTTATTACATGGGCTAGCTACATTATTGTTAACCTTAGTTGATGGGATTTCTTCATTCTTACAGGTCTCTTCGTCTTTCGGAGACGCATCACATAGGGCGACATGATGCATTCGGTCGCATTTTCGACACTTAATTTTAGAACTACAATTACTGGCTCTATGGCCCTTAATTAAACATTGAAAACATCTACCATACTTTAAAGCTAGGGTCTTACGTGTTTTTGGATCCTTGACTCCATCACATTCTTCGTGCGCGTGGTTCTTTAAACAGAATGCACAACTCTTTTTCTCTTGACCAGCCAGCAACGCCGCAGCTGTCGAGTTATCTAGACCCCCAGTTGGTTTCCTGCTTTGATTTCTTTCATACTCCCGTTCCGTTTTAGTCGCCACCGCTTCGTGCGCCTCTCGCAGTTCTAACTCCTTCTCAAACGCGTCCAACATTTCTTGCATCGTCCACTCAATGAAATCAGTTCCTCGGGTGATCATAAGCCGAAATTGTTCAGGCATCTTCTCCAATATGGCCGGTACAACAATAGTGGAATACGATTCTTCTCCCACGCCTAAGGATTTCAACGCGCGGTTGTGGGCTTCGCAGCTGTCATATAACTTCCGCAGCCTTTGAGTGTCCCTTTCTCTAAAAACCGCAGGCAGTTGAATAAGGTCATTCATATGTGTGCGTTGAATTGCACTTTTTTTCGAATCGTTTCTTAAGCAGATCCACCGCGCACTGATAATTCCTTGCTGTTAATGACAGACCAGCGATGGTCGATTTTGCCGGCCCTTCAAGGTATCCGCGTAGATATGCAAATTTGTCTACGTCCGACAATTGATCATTGTTGTCGATCGAACTCGAAAAACTGTCCCAGAACTCTGGCCATTCGCAAATTTCCCCCCAAAGTTTTTCAACCGTAACTTTGGTAACTTTGCTCTTATGATTTTGCCCGTGCTTTCAACCGATGTTTGGCTTTCGTTCAGAATCTCATTGTCATTGATCGCCACGGGTTTTGTCGTTGTCAATTCTAATTTACCGAACGCGTTGTCCATTTCAAGTAAAAGGCGTTCAAGTTCTGCGATTACTTCGTCTGCTTCTTCTATCTCCTTTGCCATCAACTCATCCGCCGCTTCTTCTTTCGACTCGCTCAGGGCATCGATGATTTTCGTGTCAAGTTCTCTTAAGATTTTGACCTTTTCCTTCAAGGAGCTTTGACTCTGCTTCAGCCACACGACGTCTTTCTCTGGACTCTCATCGCTTAACTTAGCGATCGCTTCGACTATCTTTGCCACAAGCTTCTTCGTAGACGACCTTTGCCCACCTCGTACGCGTCTTTTCTTAGCTAGGTCATCCATGTGTTCTGACCTTTGTGACAATTTTCTTTTGTGCGGCGACTGCCGTGCGAGTCTAACTAACGTTTCCACAATCCGCTTTAACTATCCAGCATACAATCCGGCTCGAAGGACCACTGTGTTGCAGAATCTTTCGTTTATTCTGCCTTTCTGGTTCATCAAACGTTCACACTCGAAGGGACTGTATATTCTGATTTATTATCGATAGATTACATTTCATTTTGCTATATACAATGGGTCATTATTTGGTATATCCCTATATCATATTACAATTACTAGTTAGATCACATTACCCAAATCAGATATTTTACATAAAGTTTTACTACATATTAACTCGCGCTCCGTGGACTGGTGATCTGCGCTGGGAACTTACGACACCTACCATCGTGTCTTAGCGAACAAATTGAACGTTTACATAGGAGAGTTTTAAGAATAATTTACCCAAGTTTATCATACAGAGAAGCATGCACTGTCTGCTGCATAAGGCTGGACGAAAACAGACAACGTCTGCATGTGCTTTAATCTCTTCCAAAACTGAGATGAAGTTAAACAATGATAACAAACTCAATACACTTATACGTAATACTAGGCTCAGTGAACAAGGTCGATCATTCCGTAACTCTGATAACTTTTCTATTTTTCAAATGTAGTACGGATCGATTTAAACTCAGTTTCTTTCCAGAGTTAACCCAATATTCTAACAAATATGCAGTCTATTAAAATATTTTTTAACATATCTAGGACAAAATTAATAGTATCTATCCAAATGGTCAATATTTCAACAATATTTATATAGTTATTTATAATCGTTATAACTTGTTGTAATATTTAATGCATGCATGTATAGGAGACAATGGCGTATTTAAATTATCCTGTTATTATATTTTTGTCTTTAATACTAATAGAGTTATAGACTAGTTACGATACTTGTAAATATAAAGCATTTCACTTCTGTGCAATTTTATATATTTAATAAACTTTTAAAAGTATACCCTGTATATATTAATCATTAAGTATCAACAGGAACTTATAAGGAAACTTGCAATTAGCTATCGCGTGTTCATGCAGAGACTTAAAATCGCTCAAGAGGGAGAATGTATGTAACTGCTGTGGCGTTTTCAAAAGTGCCTCCTTTAATTAAAAGTATCTCCAGATACACCATAATCTCCTCCTGTGTAACATGTAATAATATACTGTACTTATACCTTCATTTCGTATTCTCCCCGGCTTAATTTCTCGGCTACATCAATGCATGGTGCATATACTCTTCACGATTATGGACCACAGCGAACCAACAATGCGTATTGCTGAATTATTGGTTCGCTCTGGTTTTAAATGAATACGAGATAAAAATTCGAAACATGTGAAATTTGTGCAATTTTCAAATTAACAGATCCCGCTTTGCTATAAGAGCTGAATCGATACACACGTTGCCATTCGCAGGTAATAAATTTATTTTGTTTTAAATCCCGTCAATTGACCGTATCTTTAAGAGGCCATGATAATAACTTCCTTGCTCTTGAGGGTCGGAACTTTTACAATCTAACTGCAACGACTTCCTAAAAGTGCGATGTGTAATAATTTTATTGTGGAATCATAGGTTACTCGAAACAGCTAGGGCTTTTTAACAACTAAGCACCCGTTAGGGTTAAGTTTATAATTAACTAAATTGTTTTCAAATTGCATGACCACAGTGTCTACTTCATCGCAGATATATACGTTATGAACAGCCCCCAACTAATAAGGTCCGCCTAGGCCATTTTTGTTTCCTATTATTACGTATTTTTTATTTCATATAGTTCGCAAAACTAACACAACTGCATGATAGAAATTAGTTTATGTGGATCCCAAGTGTCACAAATAATATGTCTGGGTTTTGAGTCCAACCTAAATTTTTGCAAATAAATGTAGGGAACTTTTTGTAACATCCCGGGGAAACAGTTGCCTTTGTAATTTAATTGATCAATATCATAAGTCAAAATAAGTCATCCAACAGTCTTTTTGATGAAACAAAGATCGCTCATCGAAATAACAAAAAGAAATTTTTGCAAACAAATGTAGGGAACTTTTTGTAACATCCCGGGGAAACAGTTGCCTTTGTAATTTAATTGATCAATATCATAAGTCAAAATAAGTCATCCAACAGTCTTTTTGATGAAACAAAGATCGCTCATCGAAATAACAAAAAGAAAATTTTTGCAAATAAATGTAGGGAACTTTTTGTAACATCCCGGGGAAACAGTTGCCTTTGTAATTTAATTGATCAATATCATAAGTCAAAATAAGTCATCCAACAGTCTTTTTGATGAAACAAAGATCGCTCATCGAAATAACAAAAAGAAAATTTTTGCAAATCCGAGCTGCATGGATTCCATAATCCATAAGAGAGATCCGTGATTTCACTAAAACATGGCTTTTTAACAAATAAGCACCCGTTAGGGTTAAGTTTAACTAAATTGTTTTCAAATTGACCATAGTATCTGTCTTATAGCAGATATATACGTTATGAGCAGTCCCCAACTAGGAGGATCCGTCTAGGCCTGTTTTGTTTCTTATTATTACGTTTTTTTATTTCGTAAAACTAACACAACTGTCAATCCCAACTGTCACAAATAATATGCCTGGGTTCTGAGTGCACTGATCTACATATTAATCCAGCCCAGCATTCCAACGTTTTAGATACACTTTGAATCACATAAAATATAGGGATTTGCTAAGCCACCAAGCCTATTACTTATTATGAGCAGAATCTTTGATCTCATGCATATCCTGTATATTCCCCGAGCCGGTGCGGAGCACCGTGCGAGGGTACTAATTCCGCTCGGATATTTACACCCACGATGTGCAAATGCGAAATCAAAGTCGTCCGCCATTATGCAATGGACCTCACGCCATGGACGGTCTTCTACGTTATGCGCATGCGCCAGTGTGAACTACTAAGCTCTTGATTGGTCGAGACAAAAATTTTGTATTTTCAAACGTCGGTGAATAACTGTCATTTCGCAAAATTTTGATGAAATTTTTAAATTTATGTTTTCATATATATGGAATACATGTATTTTTAATTAAATTAGGGGAAAACTCGAATGTGGTCAGGAATTTTCACGTTATAACAAATAACAAGACCAAATTTTCGAGTTTCGACCGAATTCACCGTGTATAATGAAGTCGGAAGATTTTACACTTGATAATATTTCATCCGGCACAGCTTTAAAAAGTAATTCTCTTGTGGTAAACACAACTTTAATATTCTGAAATGTATTTCACTATAAATCTGAATGTGTTATGTGATAAACGACATTATAACTTCATTTATAAACTCCGTTTTCATAATGACAAAAACCGGTCGAAGCGTAACATAAAACTTCAGAAGTTGTATGAGACGTCTGATGTTATATTTCATGGTAATTAATAATTAAAACAATTTACCATAACACTGACTATAGATGAGTGACTTAACTTCCAGAAAAAGGTAGGAATCTTGTCGTATTTTTGCCATTTTGTCACAAAAATATGAGGGTAAACTTTGATTCTTTAAAAATATACGGCCGTCGCGAGTTCAGTTGCTATGATTACAGTGTTTCCACGTACAGAAAAATATTTCCATACTTTTCTCAATTTCTTTTTCTCTCTATACCATGTACCCTCCAAAACCCCCAACCCACATAAATTTTCTAACAATCATGTTACTATCCCTATGATTAACTGATTTCGTTCAACCGAGGCGAGGGGTTGCTGCATGCATGTATTTCTAGTTTATTAAATAAGTATGAACTGGCACTTGAAGAAACTTGCCATCATCGCGTGTTCATGCAGAGAGTCAAAGTCGCTCTTTTTGTCCGGCAAGAGGGATAATGTAATTGCTGTGGCGTCTTCAAAACTGCATATCCTTCCTTTGATTAGGAAACATCTAGGACTATAGATACACCGCAATCCCACATAACATATAAAAATATACATGTACTTATGCCTTCATGCTTATTCTCATGCTTTCCTTTCATCTACATGCATGATACTCTTCAATATTACGGAATCGATTTTTTTTGTTACCCAAAGAGAAATAATGGATCAATATCATGCGTCAATCATCGAACAGTCTTTTTGATGAAACAAAGATCGCTTTTCGAAGTTTTTCCTTTGGCAATGAAAATTGGGAACTTTTTACAACATCCTGGGAGAAAGTTGTGTAAATCATTTATAATGGATCAATATCATACGTCAATCATCGAACAGTCTTTTCGATGAAACAAAGATCGCTTTTCGAACTTTTTCGTTAACAAAAAGAAAATTTTTGCAAATCCGAGCTGCATGGATTTCATGATTCATAAGAGAGATCCGTGA